TGGTTTGGACCCGGTCGTTTCACTGGTTGGTCCACTTTCAGCGGCATTGGGTAAATGACTGTACAGTCAGTTACACTGTCCACAGGTACCTGAGTCTTATATTTGGATATTCTAAGTTTCAGTCCCTTCTTGGTTTGCTTCCACACGCCCACTTGCACCCTCTTCAGGGTGACAGTCAGAAACTTTGAGTCCTGCTCACTTTTGACCATTTGCTCGAGAGGTTCTTCAGTTTCAGATGCCTTTGCGTGTTCTGCAACATTAGATTCTTCGTGTGTTGAAGATTTTGAAGCAGGACTGTGACTGGATTGATTATCATCTGGTGGTAGAGGGACCTTTTTTTCCTCTTTGATAGCAACATGGTTGTGGGTCAGTGCAGGAGAGTGATGAACCCCCTTATTGTGGTCTTTTGCTTCTACAGGCTCCATCAATAACGACTCACAGATGAAGGATGCGTTTTTTGTTTCCACCTGAGGGCTGGGCCCTAATGTCAGGGTCTTGTCCATGTGCTCCGTGTTTGTTATCTTAACTTGATCTTGAGTCGTACTGACAGAACTGCTACTTTTATCCATCACTATGCCTCGCAAAGCCATTACCAATGGCTGAATGGGACCTTGGGCGTCCTCTGGCTGCTGACTCAATGAAAACACAGAGGATATGATGGGGAAGCTCTCCGGTTCTGAAACGTCTCTCTCTTTTGCCAGCTCATTTAGTCTGACTTCCGGCATCCAAGTTGAGCTCTTTGACTTGGCATGATTTGAAAAAACAGGAGTTTTGACTGAAACAAGCTTGTTTATAGTCTTGGGTAATGAAAAAGACTGAGTTGGAACATTATCCTTACTGACGAGACATATTGGTGGTCTCACTTGGACAGTTGGAACAATGGAACTTCTTATGGAGGGAGAAGTTGATTTAATCCTGTCCTGGTTCAAGGGTGCCACTTCTTTGATTGGTTTTGAAGCAGCGCTGCTCTTGAAGCAGATCTTCCCGGGTTCCACCTTCATAGCCACCGGCATGTCCTGCATGTTTTTCGTGTCACCCGCTCTCCTGGATGGAACACTCTTGGGGTACTCTGGAAGTAAGGTCTTTCTCTCATCCATCACTCTCTGAGAAACCATGCTGCTTGGATGCAGGCTGGTGGTGTTCAACCTGCTGGTGACCCTGCTGGAGATAACTGGAAGAGGAGCTACGTGGCTCACCGGTGCTGTTTGCGTAACTCTGATCCCACTGTTTACCCCTTCTCTTACAGGACTGATGATATTTTTGGGAAACTTATTAGGGATGACTACGTTAGACTCCAAGTTGATTATTTCCGGTGATACCCTTTTCAGTCCACTCTTTTCTTTGCTCACTGGACTCACTGGGAGATTGTTGGAAATACTGACCGGGACGACAGCAGGGCGCTCCACATTCACCATCTTTGCGTCACATGATTTCCTGTTAATAGTGCTCATGCCCATACTGCCAGGCCGCACCGTGTTGGTGTGATTGATTAATGTCGATGACAATGGCTTCCCCAGCGCTGTGTTTTGAGAAACTGTCATCCTCGTGTCCTTTATCACCGACTCGTTTTCTTGTTGGGAAACGAGCCTCAGCTTTAGTTCTTTTGTCCCATTTACAGTTTTCACCTCAACGAGTTCAACCAAGCAGCCAGCAGGAATTGTTACTTCTTCTGGCAGAGAAACTGTGAGAGCTCTATTGTGCTGAATGAGTCCATTCAAAGGGGAAAGACGTTCTGGGTTGCCATTAGTGACATTCGATACCTTCGTTTCCAGTGTTTTTGCTCTCTGTTCGTCTTTTCCCAGTCTGACAGCAGGTACACTCGGGCTAGGTACCGTCACCCGAACAACCGGCCGAAGCGATGACGGATCAGCAGCGTGCAGGCTTGTTAAGGCACTGGGGACGGGGACCTGCGGATTTTTCGTCACACCAGGCTTAGCAGGTACCTGAATAATGCTTTTACTATGCAAACGTTCAATGTGCTTAACAAGGCACAGCCTCCTCATGTAGCCCTGTCCACAGTGAGGACATTTGAATGGATACTTCGAAGTGTGTCGTTTCAGGTGCGCGTTTAACTCCGCCTCACTATAGGAAATATCGTTGCAATAAAAACAGTAAAACCGTGTCCCCATATGCTCAACCATATGCTTCTCGAACGCTGAGGCATCTGTAGACGCAAATCCACATTTCTCACAATACCTCACGTTTGAAGTGGTCAACACGCGATCCAGTGACAAATTTGGATGTCCACCATTCACAGAGGATGGCATGCTTTGATAGCTGACAGGCTTCATAATGAGAAGTGAGGTGTTCTGGCCATCTGGCAGTAATTCTCACAATTTCAGAGGCTGATGTGACACCCTGAAGTAAACATCCATCTTCACCTGATGTCCAGGGTTTATGTCCGGGGAAAGCAGACACTGACGCACCTGCAACGATGTCTCTCCCTGCGAAAGACACATAAGAAAAACAAAAACATTAAGAAACAAATGATTGACGTAACCTCACTGTGTACTATGCTTACACTTGGACGAGGCCTGTGAAGCCCCTCCTCTCACGCACAGCTCATGCAGCATTTTCAGCTCCTGCAAATATTTATTTGGCTGTGCGCGCGTGTAGGCAAATCAAAACAATACAGCACAATAAAATGCAATAATCAAACTCATTGCACTGGTCTGTATTTGCATTTTTCTGCGTGCGCGCTGAGCTTTCTTCCTTTGAACGTGACGAAAAGGCCCTACCTAACTACAACAGGGGGGTTGCGGAGACGACGGCCAACATTACAACTGTTTATATTTGCAACAGAGTCAAATGCCTCATACGCACCTGATTGCCGTGTCACGAAACAGCGATTTGGTCGGTGATATCTTTTTCAATAAAATGAATTTTAAAAAATCCACTCTTTGAACGTGATACTAACGCTTGTCAACGCCACCAACCGAGCCGCTTTGGGTTAGCTTGTCGTTAGCCATCCGTAGCTACCAAAAACAATGGCGGAAGAAAGCTGCTCCGCTTTTCAAAATAAGAGCACGCTACGTTAAAAATATAGCTGATTCAACATGTTTAGAAATCTTGGTGATAACAAATTCTGTGTCCTTCGTTTCCAGTCAGATCATCAGCAAATAATATTATTTAACACAACAAAGAAACTATTAATATTTTATTTATTGAACGTTTTTTAATGTAAACAATATAACTCAGTGGCTGCCACAGTATAACACCTGTATTAACAGGCAGATAACACTGATGATTTAAGTGCAATAAAGAGGAACAAAAACAGCAGGGAGCTGAAAATAATATATGGCAGGAAAAACATCAGAACATCTTTTAGGTTCAATAAAAGACAAAATACAACAAATTTCAACCAATAAAAATAAATTAAGTTAAGAAAATATTGATCAATTTTGTGACAAATATGGTAAATTAGAAATAGAAAACCTGGAACCTACGTTAGTGCATGGGATTGTTTAAAGATTCCAACCCTTTTGGATTGATTTAAAAAATATGTTTTTGTGAACTCACAGTAAGACTGACATCATCTTACATGACAATGTCGAGGGATTTAATCAAATGTAGCATCTAGTGGTGAAGATATAGTTCATCCTGCTAGGCATGGATTTTTGTGCACTGTCTGATGTGGCTCACAAGCTTACCACTGACTTAATGTACGAGGGCATTTTGGGTTATTGTGCAAATGTATTAATTTGCTGGAAGCCTGCAAATAAAAATATGTGTTAAAACACAGCAAAGTTTGGTTTTCTGTCCAATTGCATGTTATTAATGTGCATGGAAATGATGTGCTAAACATGTGAATAAACTGATTAAATGGCCAGTGATAAACAGGGACAGTTCCTGCTTGGTTTCCTTCCAAAAATGTCAGAAGTAAGGCTGATAAGCGCAAATACAAATCATATTACAGTAAATGCAAAGTCATGGATGATTATTGGCTGTTAAAGCAACTCAAGGATGTCAGCTGCCATAAAACTAAAATAAAGAGGAAGTAACGAGAGCATGTAATTGATCTGTCCAGCAGCATATCAAAAGCAATTGCCAGGCAGAAACTGTGTTCGTGCTGCTCGTGCATGTATCCATTTTCAGCAGCTCAATATGAAGTGGACAAACTGACATAGTTTTAAATATATGGGGGGGTTTTCAATCGTTGGATGGAAATCCTTTGCCTGCATCTGGTGATTGCAGAATATCCAATGTCTTTCCTTTGGGGAATTCTCGGGTTGCTTTTTCAGCACGCTTTGGGTCACGATGTCCAACCGGTTTTGCAGCATCTGCAATATACACAAGTGAACTGGTTGCACTGAGTCACTAGTACATGCCAATACCATAATATTGTCTCCACCATATTTGACATGTGGTATGCTTCATACCTTTCTCATTCCATCATTTTGGTACAGTTTAATCTTGATTTCATCTGTCCAAAGAATCTTTTCAGAGCTGTGCAGCCTCTGTGAAGTTGCCTTTTGATTGCAGACTTTGACAATCATACACATACCCCCTTGCTGGTATTCTTGGTTCTTTAGATGCTTTGAAGTTGTTTTTCTTAACTGTAGAAAAATATTGCCAATAATAAATATAATTATAATAATGTATTTGTCTTGTGTGGTGTTGTGGGGTGTCTGAGTTGATTATTTGGCCACTACTAACATTTGTGCTATTTTTCTGAGAGATTTATTTGGGTTTTTGAGCCTATAGATGGCCTTCTTGTTAAGCTATAAAAGAGTCAGTTGAAATGTATTAATTTGTCATGCACTGGCATGGTCTGCACTTCATTGGCATCTTGTGTAATTTAAAATCCATTAAAGATAAAGAAAAGAAAATGATATCACAGTCCAAAACATTATGGACTCGACTGCTGTTTGATTCTTCGTTTCCTTTAGGCGTTATCTCACAAAGTAATATGATGCATGCTGCTACTCGAGCGTACTCTTATTTTGAAAGGCCCTGTGAGAAGTGTAACTTCATCATTTGTTTTTCTTGACAGGCTGAGCGCAACGGACCTGTGATTCTGAAAGAAATACCACGCAAATCTGCCACATCTCCCCCTGTTATTTACGCCAAATCTCCCACAAAAACAACGCAAGGCTTTGGAGGATCTACGCTACTCTTCAAATTTGGCGTCTTCCACCATCACAGTATTACGGTTTTTACCTGTCGGTTAGTTTTTCCATTATCTCGCACAAGGACTGATTATTTTAGACACGACCAGGCAGCAGTTTGCTAAATCGGGGCAATATAGAGGGGAGGGGGCTCACCCAGTGACCCAGGAAATGCTTTGAAGCTTTTGTGTGTGCTGTAATAAAGTCAAACAACACGCGTTTATCAGCTTGCAGTGGCTGTCAGAGAGGCAAAAGGCACCCGATGGATAGCTCTGATTAAAATGCCATAATTAAAACATGCTGTTCACAAGAGTCTGCAGACTGTTTCCTACTATGTCCGTTTCACTGGCATTACCGAGGTGAGTACTCCAGTAAGTTTGTGGCAAATAACGGGCTTTACTGATGTGTGTTTAGCGTTTCTGAATATTGTCACGATGCTCACTTTATATCCTTAAATCTGGAGTCGCCAGTGCCTGATCTCCTTAAATATCCTTAAATATTTTCATCAAACCCTCGATGCATGAAAATGCTCCGATTTATTCATGTTTTTGAAGCCACCATACTGTAGCTCATGTGAGGATCATCATGACTATTGTCAGAACAGTTTCTGGGATTTGCACACCATTGTTGTAATTCACAATGACACAGCAGTGGCTTTCACTGACCCTCCCACCGCCCGGTCTGCCCGACACACAGGCCCTGCCTTCCTGCGCCCTTCCTGGTTATGGCACTATTAAAACAGCTGGCCCGGACTCGAGCTCCGTGCTGGTTTCTTCTCAGGAAACAGTTTTTCTTGTCACTTTGCAGACGCGGAGTTATCAGTAGCGGGATGGCCTCAGACCTGTCGGAGATAACCCGGTTCGACTTTCTGGTGGTCGGCGGCGGGTCTGGAGGTCTGGCCGGGGCTCGGCGAGCGGCGGAGCTCGGAGCAGCTACCGCCGTGATCGAGAGTCACAAACTCGGAGGTACCTGCGTGAGTAAAAATAATAATAAAAAACCAATCAGACATGCCTCCCTACTGCTGTCACCTCTTCAGCATGTACACGCACACGCACACAGACGCGTTAGTTACCAGATTCACTGCGAAACCTCCCGACTCCTTTTTTGTGTGTCTGACAAACATTGTGGGTTTGAAGTACAAAGCAGCCGATGAGGTTATAAAACTGTAACTCATTCCTGTTCCCTTGAGCTGAATCTGTTGTAACTGAGGCATTTTGAAATTATCTGCACAAGGCAACAATATAAGGAAGAAAGAAGTGGTTTAAATGCGTTATCTGTACTGACTATTAGTTCAATCAGGCCTCTATAGTTTGTTTTCAGCTAAAACATCAGGGGGAGAAATGGCTACTAAACCCATTCTGTCCAATGGTTTTGGCATAAAGCACACAAAGCCACAGTGAAAAACAGTGTGGTTATATTTGCATATATTTTCCTTATTGATAAGTGAATGCTGTGTTGTATTACTTTACAGCCATATGAATGCGCCTGACCCAATCTGTTACATCTTTTCCTTTTGTAAAATGTTTTATGAAACACAGACACAGCATTGTATTTTTTGATACTGCAGTTCTTTTACACTACATGAATATTCTTCCTGTCACTGCAGCTTTAGTCTAAAACGTTTCTCTTCCATAATCTTTCTGTATCACTGCTACTTGACCAGCTTTCACTCAATTCATTTGTTCTGCTTTCTTTCCTTTTTTCAGGTCAATGTTGGTTGTGTCCCTAAGAAGGTACCTTTTTCTTTACACTCTTATTATAATAAAAGGTTTTACACTTCTCAAAGTTCAAGTTCTCAAAGCCGGCTCTTGTTGCTCTTCTTCTCAGGTGATGTGGAATGCAGCAGTTCATGCCGAATATCTGCACGATCATGGTGATTATGGCTTTGAAACTGGAGACGTTCGTTTCAGTTGGGAGTAAGTTACAGTTTCTGCTAGTGTCTACTTGATTTTTTTCTTTTTTCTTTTTTTGCAACTGCAATGAACTCTTTTAAAAGCTGTTGTGGTTTTTCCTGGTACAAAGAAGCATTCATTTCTCCCCACAACCTCTCAGTCAGTTACTTTGTGATGCTTAACTTTAGCCCACTTCTCTATCTCTGTGCACAATGAAGTTGGGCAAAAATGACTGTTGAAGATAAGCCTTCCTGGAAGGAGTGGTCGACTACATTTACAAGACGAGGAAACCTTTTCGAAATATAACGCTAGTGTGAGAGGAATGTGCTGGGCTTTGGGTGTGCCTGCATGGATTACAGTAGAGTACTAAGTGCTCCACAAACATCTTCAGTGTGCAACCAGGGTTAAAGTGAGATTTTGCAGGTGGGAGTTGTAGTGGTGCAGTGTGGGGAAAAGAGTTACTCAGAAATAAGTCACAATTTGTATTGTGAGCTCCAATTTTCTTTCTGTACAGGCTGTGATCAGCTGGCTTGTGTTGCTACTCTGAGATTCACTGCTGTTCATTTATTTAGCCAACTAAATACAACTGGATATAACCAGATGTTAAATTAGTTTTTCTTCATCAAACTTGTGTTTTTCTTGTATTTTTCTACCATCTCAGCTCTCCTGTAGTCTCTGTGGGAGGCTATAGCAGAGCTGTAACAGTTTATGCTTTTTATGATTCCTTTTCTAGAAATGGCAACACAAGGGTGATACAAGACAAGTATTCCTTGTGATGATGGTTTATTACCAACATATTTTAGCTGGTTGAATAATTTATATTATGTTTTTGCAGAACCCTAAAAGCCAAGAGGGATGCGTACGTCAGTCACCTAAATCGCATTTATCGCAACAATCTTGACAAAGTAAGTGTCAGATGAATTCTGCTCGTTTGATTTCTGTTCTTTTCAAATGTAATTGCAGTGCAAAAGAAACTCTCATGTGCTCTATTTCAGGCTAAAATCCAAACCATTCAAGGTTATGCCAGGTTTACAAACGATCGTGAGCCGACTGTGGAAGTCAATGGAAGAAAATATACAGCACCTCACATCCTCATCGCCACTGGAGGACAACCTTCTGTTCTGAGTGATGCAGAAGTGCCAGGTAATACATGCTATACTTTGTTTTACCAGTGAGCATCAGTCAGATGTTTAGAAGATTACAGCTGTTGTGTTTGTTGACAATTTCAGGGGCAAGCCTGGGCATTACCAGTGATGGCTTCTTTGAACTTGAAACACTGCCAAAGTAAGCTTGTATACAGCCTAACTGATGTTAATGCGAGACCATGAGAACCATGGAGGTCTGTGGTTATAGCATTTGTTTGTTTTTTCCTACAGACGCAGTTTGGTTGTGGGTGCTGGTTATATTGCAGTGGAGATGGCGGGCATTCTTTCCACCTTAGGGTCCAAAACATCCCTCATTATTCGACAGACAGGAGTAAGAAAAACGACAACACAGAATCACAATATGACTGTTTTAGAAGCGTGGAGCCATGCGGTCATACTCTCGTATTCTATCTGTAGGTTTTGAGGAACTTTGACGCCTTTATCAGTGCAAACTGCACCAAAGAACTGCAAAACTCTGGTATCGATTTGTGGAAGAACTCTCAGGTGAAGTCTGTGAGTAAAACGGACAAGGGGCTGGAGGTGACGGTGGTTACCAAAGACCCAGAGAAGAAGAATGACGAGGAGAAGATCAGTACCATCCAGGGAGTGGACTGCCTTCTCTGGGCCATCGGCAGGCAGCCCAATACAGCTGGACTGAACATCGGCGAGATGGTAACAGTTTACCTGTGATTTTTATCTGTAGATTGGATAGTGTAATGTGCAAATTATTATTATTATAATTTTATTTATTGGGAGATATTATGTGCTACTTACATGTAGCGCTGAGCAGTAAGACACTACCGCTGCATAATCGTCCTTATAGATTATAACAGGACGGCAGATGTCTTTCGATAACTGTGTCTTAGGCACACATACCAACATGAAACTGCTTTCCACAAATAATAATAAAATATTTCATAATTTAAGGCTTGTATGCAAAAAGAATACAAAAACCGGTATCCCAAAAACTTAAGCCTTAATAACAGATAATCTGGGAACAAGACTGGACAGTTTCCACATGCTATTACTTTGTTGAAGGTGATGCATGAAATTCTGGCATAAATATCTGATAAATGAAGGCGGAGCAGCGAAGTCTCAGTTACGCCGACGTCTTCTTTTGACTGTCTTTGATCCATCTACCGAGCTTAGATTTAATGTGTAATAACATCGTTTGAATCATTTGTTATATGAAGGAAGAATGAATGACTTGTCAAAGCAGCAGTTTAACCAGCTCTGTTCAAAACATGTTGAATGTTCTCAGGCTTTTCAAGACTGTGAGTCTCTCTTTTGTCTGTTCTGCTTTACATTTAATCCTCCACAGTTTAGCTGAGTCATCGTTATTTCTTGCCCCACACGGGATTTCTCTTCTGAGTCGCACGTCTCTTATTCACTGTCAGTATCATACAGTGAGGAAGCACACAGAAAGAGGCAAAACATGCACTACCTTTCCTCAAAAAAATTATTCATCTGAACTGTGGTTCTCTACAATACTCTCTCTTAGAGAAGGATGGGAGATTTGGGAGGTTTCTTTTGAGGCGTTAATGTTGTGGGAAAGCTGAAGACCGTTCCAAGATTAATGACCAGTTTAAAGGGAACTAGGAGAAAACATGGGCCTAATCTTTTGTTTTAATCTCCACGGTTCACATTTTTACTCGTTTCTCTTCCGTTTTCTTTGTCAGGGTGTGGATACAGACGAAAGAGGCCACATCATCGTGGATGAGTTTCAGAACACCAGTCGATCGGGGATCTACGCTGTCGGGGATGTTTGTGGCAGAGCTCTTCTCACACCTGGTAGAACCTTTATCCACTTTTTGTGTCTGTGTGTGTTCTTTCCAACCTGTTTCCTGATGTTTTAAATAATTAGTATTGCTGGGTGAAGCCTGGTGATATTAGATTAAAGGTTTCTGGGTCTATGTTTAATAGCTCTGAATGGATTTTATTGCTATATAGAGGATATTTGAATATCAAAGCCGTGAAGGCTGCAGATGAGTGCACTGACAGGACATTATCAGAGATCTTATGTGTAAGTCGCTTTGTGAGAATGGATAACGTCTCTCTGTCTCTATTAGAGGAAAGACCTACCTCAAGTTTAAATCCACACACATACACACATTTCATACACGGGTGACTCCAAATAACAGCTCTGAAATGCCAGGTTTGCATTTTTGTGACCTCATCCATGGTTTGGAGTGATTACAGGGGAAACATAATTTTGTGAAGTGGCTTTTTCAAGAGACTTAAATATTAAAAATATGTTTTTAAATAGGAAAACTTTAAATAACAAGTCTCCAGAAATTTGTCCTATACAAACGTGATCTTGGAGTCTGAGTCTGTTGTGTTTACAACCGTCGGGTTTCTTGCGTGTGGGAGGGTCGGGCGCTCAGACAGGAAGGCTTTTCAGGTATGACTCAGGCTCGTGTGGGTGAACAAAGAAAACAGTATTCAGACAAGGATTTGGTCCCAAATGTCAGCTCTGAAATCCTTTTTGAGTCTATTATTGATCTATATTTAGTGGATCAATTGGTCTTTTTCAGTAACTTCTGAGGAGGGCAGGGTGAAATGATGAATGCCGAATAAAACCAAAAAAATCTATTCTTCATCTCTGTAGTTAACAAAAAACTCTTATTTGAGGTCAAAGCTTTAATACAAAAGAGTAAAATAAAACTTTATTGAGTGACCAAGGTTTCTTGACAAAACATGTTGGTATCCTGCAGGGCCGTGCAGAGAGGTTTAACGGGTGCTCAAAGTTAAAAAGGGGCACATTGAACCAGGCTGAATAACAACAACACACATTCATCAAGAATCTAATATG